AAAAAATTAAGTGGTCTGATTGAAAAAATAAAAAATTGATAATTAAAGTAAAAATGGACAATAGTTAAATAGTTATTAGTATAGTCTACCCAAAGTTCAATCTGCCTTCAACCAAAATCGATAACTTCGTGGCCGCATTGGCTTTGGCGCGTGTGCTAAATGTTTAATAAAGTCAAATATGCTCATTAGATACTTTTTTCCAAAACCTACTTCATTTAAGAACTTGAAGACATCCATTTAATATGTACAACATGTAGACTTCAAATTTCATCCCAGTTATTTAATTTAAATTTGGACCGTTGGTTCTTTCGAATTATGTTAATTTTGGATATTGATTTGAACTTATGTTGTAATGTTAAGGGGTGGATTTTGTTTCAAGATTTGGGCAACTACTTTTAAATCTAGCCTTTGGGCCTTTGTTTTTAGATTGGTTGTTGGGTTTTAAAAATTGGGCTAACACCATCACATTACAAGCCCAAACAATTTAGGGTTAACTCTACCAGGCCCGCAATCCACTGACTTCTATAGTTTATCACATGCAGTCTGCTCCTGCAGCTCCAGCAAGACTTCACACCCCATCAATTTCCTTGGAGCCCTGTATGTCTGCTCCTGTTCCTTATCTTTGTATCTCCAACAAGCCTTTCATGTCTGACCACCAGTACAATAAATCCACCTGCAACAAACGACGACCTCCGTAATACCCTAAACTTGGTCCATTAGATATGATGTGCCTAAATATCATATTAAACCTTTGAAGTGATAGTCAAATTTAAAACTAATAAAAATTTCCATTTAATATGCACATACTTAATATTCGTAACAAATAAATAGATGTATAAATTATAAAATAGTTGTGCAAATCTATAGCTTGAATATGACATAGTATATATCAATATAAATCATAATGAAAATAGAGTTTATAGCTGAGATGCAAATAGGGGTCTTCTGAACATACATGTCTACTAAAGTAAATCAAATATTGTACTATGAATATAAGTACTGGAAATACTTCTGCGATGATGCTCATTTGAACCAAAATCTAATCTATTAATTTGCTCACGTAAACATTTGAACATTGATCTTTACAAGCTCAGTGGCACACTTCTACTCTATTATACTTCGTGCAAATCATATATAAACATGCAATGCAAATATAAGAATAAATGTATGTTTCTAAACATTTATCATCACTACATAGATATCATACTTATCAACATTCATTAGCATACTTCACGTGAGCATCATCAACTACAAAGTTAACCCATGGCTCTAGGACTCGTTCATACAATCATATTAATAACAATAAATTATATGATTTCACCTAACATCAAATAAAAAATAACAATGGTAGTAAGATACCTAGAATCATTAAAGATTAGGTATTATATATAGTAAAGGTATTTGGTGCAACTTGCATCAATACTCAGTGTCACTAAGTATATCAAGTAATAAAGATGTCAGTAGTTCCTGGTGTCACGAAGTATTAGGGCTTATAACATGCAAGGGTACTTGGCATAACTAAACAAATCAAGTATCATCAATTGTTAGAGTATTTGATGTCACCAAAAATATTTGGTATAATAACATACAATAGCATTGATGTCACTAAACGTCAGGTTGTATAATCAAGATATACATATAGTTACCATAATATACGGTTGTACAAACAAATAGGTGCTCATAAGATACACATCACGATGATTACCTTTAAGGACAATCAACATAGCATGACTGCACAACCATAACATTTATTCATCAAATAGATACAATCATTTCCTCGTAAATCATTATACATCTTATTCCATAACTCGATCTTTCTTAGAGTTTTATACTTATAGGTATAATAAGCATTTAGTAGCTTATGACCCTTAATAAGACTCAACAAGTGATCATAAAAGATTATTCAAATTGCGAGATATTCATAGTATTTTCAACATCATCGTTGAAGCACAAAGTACAACCAAACAATAAAAAATAAATATTACTAGAATTATTCCATTCCTCATAGTTGATTTTAAATTTACTTAACTTAAGGTGTATTATCCCTTAAGAGTAATTATGCTTAATTTAAAGCTTACTTAACTTAAGGTGTATCATGCTCAAGGATAATTACCCACTACCTCGTCGTTTTAAATATACACACAATTAACAGATCTAAGAATAAGCTATTATCACATATAACGACCTAGACAAGTCCTTAAATGTGTTTATAGTTAGATTAAACCCTTAAAATCCAACTAGTACATTGGAGGTATTTCAATACTTTTCCATATAGAAGGGTATTTTTCTAATTTTCAAGTATAAGGCTTCTTTTAATCATTTCATTAACAACGATATTTTAGTCATTTTCTTATTTAATGGTAATTCAATCATTTTAACATATACAAGAACATTTCAAATATTTTAGCATACGATGCTATTTTGATCATTTTACATGCAATTAATTTCATCATTTAACACATTTAGAATTCTTATACCTATCCATAAGTCGTAAGAGTAATTTACTCAATTATCCATCTTTTAAACCTTTAAAACTCGTTTGTTAGGCCTTAGGAGTATTTTGGTCATTTACATAACTTAAGGACATTTTATTTTTTTTTTTTTTTGCACTAAGACCTCTTCTCATGCATACCTAATCATTATGAATCATTTTCAACTTTCATTGACCAATTTAAAAATCAAACCATGCTTAAATAACATTAGGTATAGATATCAAGCATGAAATATCAACACTCAGCCTTAAGATATCAATATTCTTAGACTATATTGATATCAAATTGACACACGAGAATTCCACCTTTGATCTTAGTATCGATACTAAAAGTTTAGTATCGATACCAATGACACAATTGATACCTTAAGAATAAGTATCGATAATCATTTCACATTTTCTCCAAATTTCTACTATAATTTCATACGATACCAAAATAAAACCCATAATTGACCATTTTAATCTTAAAAATCACCTCCAAATCCCCTTTAAAACACTTATTTTTAAGCCCTACTTGATTCTAAGGCGTATGAAAGCAGTGTATGGTCATAGTATTATTTTAAAAATATTTAACAATACAATCATCAATTTGATCATTTAATATGTTTAGCACTGAAAACACCCAGCATACATTATACCAAAAAGCAAGACATTACATTTATGAAATCCAAGAAAAATTAAGAATTTAAAGTATACTACATTAAGCTTAGCAACAAAAGAAATCTCAATTGATTAGCTTTCATCAACCTTCTTCTTTCTTTTGGCACAAGAGGGTTCTTGAACCTCTTTCACTTTATTAGTCTTAGAAAAATGATAAATTGCATACAAGGTAACTCTATTAACACTCAATATTTAGGTTTTGATGTGAAGGAAATAGAGGAAAGAGAAATGAGAAAGTTATGGGAATGGATGAGCTCACCAAATATAGATCGTGTCTTTTCTTTTCTCACACCAAAATCTGACGAATTAAACGAGGTTCGGTCTACTTTTCGTCAATGGTTAAATTCCACATTTAGTCCTTAAAGATATTTCTTCAACTGAAAAACTTCCATTTCCATGGACATTTGACCGAACTCAAACCTGATTAGGTCTAAATTTGGACAAACGAAACTAATTACTCTAACTTATTAATCCATCTATGGTTCGGGTCAACGTTCAATTGTTGACTAAAAAATTAGGGTCATTACAACCTTAGCAACATCCCCCTTAACTTTTGATGTGTAATCACCATAACCACAACATGGGCCCGATCACCCCACGGGTGAGGGCACAAAACCCTTTTGGATCGTCCAACCCAAACACCCAACGGTAATAACCTACTACATAAAAAAATCTTCACTTTTTATATTTTTTTTCAAAAATAAAAGAGAAAAACTCTCTTTTCTTTTTTCTTTTTCTATTCTCTCTAGAGATTGTTTAATTGTTGTCGTCTGTTCCTTGCTAGCCATCGTGTACTATTGTCTACTCCGTGCTAGTCGTCGGGCATTGTCATCGTACACGACCAATAGTGGTTGATGATTGTCAAATACACCGACTATCTTATCTCAAAGCCCCAAGCCTGACTTTGGCCTCTATTTTTTCATAAAACCCTATAAAATATATATATCTACAAAAGTGGTCGTGAAGACAACCTCCTCCAATCGAGAAATTTGATCGGTTGATTTTAAAGTACATTGATCTCCGTGTCAATCTGCTCTTATTAACCTTCCATATATCTAAAGTGATGTTCCATTCGTCAAAATACTTTTGAGATCTCTCGTCGGATTTTATGTGTATGAGATTGTTCGTACTTGTAATCGTGAAGGGTTTTTCGGTGTGTAATATTTCATTCGTCATATGTCCTTTGATGTGTTTAGGGTTGCTTTGAGGACCTTGCAGGGGTTTATATATGATATGAATCCAATCGTGGGGGTGTTTATGACCAAATTTTTAACAAATTTGAGACAACGGGTGAGAGACGTAGGGGATATGAGAGATTTAACTAGGTTGTTGGAGTAGGATTAAATTGAATCTAAATCTTGTATTTAGAAACTGACTTGAGTTTAAGTTTGAAGCTTTTAATTGTTAAATAAAATTAGTGTCTACATAATATTTATTATTAAAATAAACAAATAGATCAGAATTAATCTAAATTTTAAAAATCGTATTCAACATCCTCCTACTAGAACTAAACCGACTCACACGTGTACAAATCTACTTCTAATTGCTGTCTACTTGTATCTGGAAGCAATTAAAGTGGTTATTTATTTGCATGCCTTCCCATTTTATTTTCTCGAATTCCTCTCCATTTCCCACTCTCCCTCCTACCATAAATAAATATGTAAAACAATAAATGAAACAATTAATTATAAAAATTAATCAATGGGTTAATTTATTTCTTGTTAAATTGAAATTTAATTACTTTTACATTAATAACACTAATTATGAGCTTTCATTTTTTTAAGTTTTTATATTTACAAAGTATAATATTTGCTTTCAATACTTATAATGTATCATACTCTCTATAGTGATTGTTGTATAAAAAAGGGAAAAGTAAAAGAGAGAGAGAAAGAAACCCTGTTAGACACTCACTTTCTCTTTGTCAAGAAGCCTCTCTGGCCATGGCTGCCGATGTTAGCTATTTGCATAGAGTTTTAAGCCGGTACAAGGCGGACCGAATGGCGGGGAATGAATCCGGTGGAGCAAAACCAACAGCTTTGATCGCTAGGGACTTTCTTGGAGTCGGAGGCCGTCGTGGTGGCTCGGCCTTGATCAATATGAAAAATGATCAATTAGAAGAACTTAACCTTGATGTTCAAGTCCCTAATGGGTGGGAAAAGCGCCTAGACTTGAAGGTATGTTGACAATTCTCATCTCTTAATAAATGGATTATTTTCCTTCATTTTTTCTTTAGTTTCTTTGATTCATTTTTGCTCTATAAAGTATGATTCATTAATTTATTTTTTTAATAATGGTTGCAGTCTGGTAAGGTGTACTTGCAAAGCTGCAATTTATCAAATTATTCACAATCATCTGATGAAACCAAACACCAAATCAATCAAACAGTGTCGAAGCTTCAAGATTTGAACTTCCCACCGTCGTCCTCTAAACCTTTTATAAATCTTTTCGACGAGACTAACCTAGAGCTGAAATTAGTCTCATCGTCCTCCACCACTTATCAGAGCGTGTGTACACTCGACAAAGTAAAATCCGCGCTCGATAGGGTAGAGAAACATCCGATCAAAAGGCGATCACCATCTTCCTCCTCCTCCTCATTGTGGAAGTCATCCTTGCTGTCGCCTTCGTATTCTTTGTCTTCGATCAAAGGTTCACGAGATGCCGGTGGGGATCAAGAGAGGTTATTTGCCTCGCCGGTTGCGGCCGGTTGCCCCGGATGCTTGTCGTATGTTATGATAATGAAACATAACCCTAGATGTCCCAGGTGCAATACCGTTGTTCAATTGCCAGCTTCTAAGAAGCCTCGCATTGATCTCAATATATCAATTTGAGGGGGGCGGAAATTCAACTTATTCTAGCTTGATATTCAATGCATTTACTATAATTTTGTAAAAAAGATAGATGTATTAGAAGTGAATTCTTAGCAGAAACTGAGCATATGTTTATTGGAAAGGGATGACAAAGATCAAAAAAGAAAGATATGAATTTAATAAATTAGTTGACCCTATTTCCATATGTAATGGGATAAGGGGAGGTAGGGTAGTAGGCTGCCTCCAATGTTAGGTTGAGAGCAACTTCCGTGAAAGACCTTTAGTAATTATGAATTGTCCACCTTAGGACTCGATTCCATATATTTCATATTGTTTTTTCCCTACTAAGTTGATCTAACATTGTTGATAATTCTAACATATAAGTGACCTCAGTGCTAAATAGAATGTTGATTTTTCTGGTCTTAATGGTAGAAGGGAATATTGATCTTTTTAGAGGTTCTGGAATCAAGTAGTTGTGTTTGCGAGGTATATATACATTGTTAATAAATTAAGCTCTGAACAAATATTACCTTATAATCACCCAAACTATTTTTTTTTAAAATACTATTGGAGATTCTTGAATTTTTTTTATGTGATATTCTTGGATTATGTTTCTATTTGTCTAATAAGTCGTATTTAAAACTTATGGTAAACTACCTCATTAGTCATCAAATTTTAACTCGTGTACTGATTTTAGCATTAGACTTTAAAAGGTTTCAATACTAAAATTGAAATTTAGTTTACATTTTAATCAGGATACTAGTTGGTTAATCCATTAACGGCCAGATGATGTGGAAGCTAAAATATGCTAGCGTTGAAGTTAAAGAAAATTATTTTTTATTTTATTTCAATATCTTCTTTATTAAAATTATGATTTTTTCAGTCGTCATAATCCATGGTTTTTAGAATCGGACCGGTCAGCGAACCGGCCGTGCTACCAGCTCACTGGTTTAACCGGTCGAACCGGTCAGACCGGTCGGAAGAACCAGACGACGTCATAATTAATTAATTATTTAAAAAATTAAATAAAAATATAAAAAACATTTAATAAAAAACAATTTTTTATATTACAAGTCGTATTCAAAGCAAGTTATAACATATATAAGTTAAAAACCATAAAATCAAGTGAAACAAAATGATTCAAATTAACTACAACATAATATTTAAGGTAAAACATATTAAATAATAAATATAATTATATAACTATAATCAAAAAATAAATTTGAGGCTAAAAAATCATAACAAACGATGTCGTTCGGTTTAATTTTAAAAAAAAAATCTCACATGGCTAAGAAACATAGAAGATCATCACAAAAGTCTAAAGAGTAAAAATATAAAAACAAAACAATCCCACATAGCTAAGAAATATAGAAGAGCATCCCAACTGACTTCTATAAATAATAGAGGTAATTTGTCATTCAAAATCATGGAGTCTTTTGGTGAGCACAGAGCGAATTATTCATTCGCTTCAAGCGAGCTCGAATTTTAGGCTTCAATCGAGCTTCTAAATTTTTTTTTAGCTCGAGCCTTTTTTGAGTTCAAGTTTCAATATTATATTTCAAGTTCGAGTTGAATTTGATAATTTTTAACTCGTTTAACAAATGACGTCGTTTGATTTAATTTTTTTTTAGAAAAAAAATAGAACCAGTTTTCAATCGGTTCACGGTCCGATCCAGTTCAACGGTTCACAGCTGGTTCAACAGTTCCTTTTAGTTCACTAGTAACGATTTAACCGGTGTAGAATGAACCGAATTAGACAGCGATTCCCGATTAAACCGGTTAAACTCCGGTCCGATTTTCAAAACACTGTCATAATCTATCATTCTCCAACATCTTTTACAGGCACTCTAAGTATGGATAAACTCTTCTTATCATCATCTATTACTTTTTTAGATAAAGTTTGAACATATATTGATTCTGAATCAAATAATACATAAAACTTTTTTATATGATGATTTGACATGATAATTATTATTTGATTTATTAATAAATATACATCATCGAATATTTTAAAGAGAGGTTTTATTTATATAGATTTTTAAAATATAAAATTATTTTTTATTATTTGACAAGATAAAATTAAGGAAAGTGGAATTTGAAATGGTTCTCTTTTCAAATCACTCTATTGTAAATTTCTTTGATCTTTCACTAAGATGTTATAATATTGCACAAAATTTTAAATGATATTTATTTCAAAAATTATAAATATTTAGATTTCGAATGGCATACATATTATATTTTTATTTATAATAATTGTATTAAATTTCATAGCCAGTTGGTTGTGTGCATATAAATGTTTGAAAACTGCATTCACCTAAACTTTGTCAAACAATGAGCTTTATTATGGTTGCTGCATGGAAGCTAATTAAAGGCTATTTACTAGACCAATTCATTAATATACCTAACCATAATAAATGGGAATTTAATATTATCATGGCCTTTAATGTCTTTCGACCTACTATCGTTGGAGCTTTTAATGTTTACTTCCCAATACCAATCCCTATACTTTCTTCCAATAAAACCAACTCTACTTGGCCTAATTAATTAATTAATTCTATTTGTTTCCCTTAACATTGTCTATTTTACTATAGTTGGCCTATTTTAATTAAAGTAAATTTAAATTTATTTTTTAAATTTAATTGTTTTAAGCATAAATTAATTCAGATTCAAATAAAATTGAGTGTTATGAGTCAAAATCGATTACTCATGGAGTGAAGATAAGGGTAGATTGAAGGGACTGCCAAAAATAATTATTTCTTGAAAATTGTAAATATTATATATTTTAGATATTTAATTTATATTTTTTAGAGAAAATAACCTCAGTGACCAAAAATCTCATATAATATACGATTTTAACCAACTTTTTCCGGATTTGCCAAAATGACCAACAAAATCGCAATGCGATCGCTAATTCGCAACGCGATCTCCATTATCGCAAATACGCGTTGCATTTTTCGCAATGCGATAGTTGAAAATCGCGTTGCGATGGTCTACAGTATCGTTGCGATTTTCCCAATTCGCAATGCGAATAAGTAAATCGCAACGCGAATTGGGAAATTCGCAATGCGAATAAGTAAATCGCAACGCGAATTGAGAAAATCGCAATGCGATACTGACTATCGCAATGCGATAATAAAAAATCGCAACGAGATACTTACTTTCGCAACGCGATACTGACTTTCGCAACGCGATAATACATAATCGCAATGCGATTTTCAAAGCGCCATTAGTATCCTGGCCAAGTATTTTATTTTTAAATTCCAAACATGAATATAAATATATTGGAACACTGAACTGTCCACAGTATATCCCGTAATCGCAACTCATAACCTAAAACCTAAAATCACAACTCAGTCCCATCTCCATCTCTCACTCTCTCACCCATCTCCGACGAAATCCGTCCCCATCTCCGGCGAAATCCGTCTATCTAAATCTCTCAGAGCCACCCTAACAATCAGAAATGGAAAATCAACCAAATCAACCAACGAGGGTTAGTTTTTTTAATTATTTTCTTTTTGAAATTTTTGCATTATTATTAGGTTTTTCATATTGAAATTGATGATAGGTTTACTGGTAATTTCAATAATAGATTAACCATTTCACTTAGATTGCTTATTAAATCAACCAAGATTCGCAACGCGAAATGCAAATCGCAACGCGATTTTAGTTTCGCGTTGCGATTCTCTCGTTGCGATAGTCATTTTCGTGTTGCGATTTTCATTTTCAGAAACTATTCTTCTTCCGCAAATTGAAACTTGAATGAATTGCATTACTTCAACCAAAAAACAAAGACAAATACGAAATTCACAGTGTTGCATATTTAAGTTTGAAGAATAAACTACTACTATTTATGTTTATTATTGTTTTGGTATATCTTCACAGTGTAGTTTTTGGTATATCTAATTTAGTATGTTTATTGTTTTGTAGAACTTTTATTCGGCTCAATTGACCTTGAGAAATAAAGTCAGCCTGGCCAAAACAATTGCGTCGAAGCTTTCACCTGCACAAAGAAAAATGTTTGAGGATACATGCTTCGGGCCATGGCTGAAAGTACAACATCCCGGTGGAGATGCGATGTTGACACACCTGTTTCTTCAAACCATAAATAGAGATCTACCAGAGACTATACAACGTCGTGATGAAGAGATATGGTTTGATTTTCCACCGGCGTATACGTGTTTTGGGCGGGAGGAGTTTTGCTTAATCACCGGTCTACGCTTCGGACACGATGATGTAGGTCGGTACACTAGACACATTACCCGCCCATCATGGCTATCCCGGGTTTTTCCTGAGCTGGAGAGGCCGAGTCTACACGTAGAAGACCTGACAAGATTTTTGAATAATAAAGATGGTTTTACTCGGATGGATGACGTCGACGTTGTCCGAGTATGCCTTCTAATTCTTTTGCATGCCGGCTTTTTAGGCAGAGAGGCCAGACAACCTATTCCAAATGATCTAATCAAATTGGTAGAAGACCTAAATGCGTGGAACCTGTTTCCGTGTGGCTCGTATTTATGGAAAGCTACATGGAATAAGTTATCGTCTGCCTTGGATGATCGAAAAAGTTTGCATGGCGATGGTTCCAAATACACTTTGACAGGCTTTATTTGGGCCTTTAAGGTAAGAATTTTTATATAATGTTTCCAAAATTATAAGTAATTATTTAACAATTACTAATGTTTGTTATTATATTGTTTGTAGATTTGGATATTTGAGGCCTTTCCCGCCATGAAGACATATGCAATAAAAACTTCAAATAATATTCCCAGGGCTATTTCCTGGAAGAGGAAACGAACCTTGCAATGGGAAGATTTACTACGGTATACAACAATAAATAATGTAAGTTAACATAAATACTACCATATGTTTATAAACAAGTTATTACTAGTACACATTTAACTTTGTTTAAGCTTTTATATTGTTAGGAGGCCAACACTCCTCTACAGAGGCTGACACCCACGGAAGCTGAGCTTGCCACTGATTGGTGGCAAGCTAGTAAGCGTTTTTTTGATGGAACGGTTGATGAGCAGCCTCCACTTCGGGAGCCATCACCTCGCCTAGAGCTATCACCTCACCTAGAGCCATCATCTGATCGACCCGGCTATACACCTCCACAACGACAGCCATCACCTATTCTTTCACTTCATCGAGCCTCTTCTCCACCATCACCGCAAGAT